ATGCTAGGCAAGCACTCTACCAACTGAGCTATATCCCCAGCCCCTGAATATGGTTTTAAAACCATTTTACCATTGAGGGCTGGGGCTGAGTGGCACAGCACCTGCCTAGCACGTGTGAGGCACTGGGTTCTATCCTCAGCACCACATAAAAATAAATAAAACAAAGGTATTGTGTCTGTCTACAACTTTTAAAAAAAATATATGCCATCAGACAGTCTGTAAGAGTATAATTCAGTGTCACTAAGGACATGTACCATGTGTGCAAACATCCTGTCTACTTCCAAAACTTCTCTGTGACCCTCAAACAGAAACTGTGCCCACTCAACAATAACTCCCCTGCCTCTCAGCCCCGAGTAAGCGCTCCCGTCTATTTTCTGTCTCTAAGGGCTTACCTATTTTAGATATTTCATACAAATGGAGTCGCACAATATCTGACCTTGTGCGTCTGGCTTCATTTGTTCGCTCAGTGGCATTTTTGAGGTTCACGTGCAAGGCGGCGTGTCTCTGCACTTGACTCCTCTCCGTGGCCCAATGACCTCCCGCACCACGTTTTTGTTTTGTTTMTCCATCTATCCTTTGATGGACACTTCTTGTCTCCACCTTCTGGTTATCATGAATAATGCTGCCCTGGTCTACAAATATACCTGTTTGAATACTTCGTTTCAATTCTTTGGGGTGTATACCTAGCAGTGAATTGCTAGCTCATGTGGTAATTCTAGAGTTTTTTTTTTTTTTTTTTAATCAAGTACTAAACTGATTTCTGTAGCAGCCACACCATCGAACGGTGCCACCAGCAAGGTACATGGGCTCCAATTTTCTTCTCTTTCCCATGGTATTTAGTTCCTTTGGGGCTTTAGTCTCACTTTATTTCATTCTTATAAGCTTGCTCAAACCATTCTTTTCTAAGTCGTAATGATTTTTTAAAATCAAAATTCCAGACTTCTCTCACACTCAACCATGACGTGCTGTGTTACGATGTATGGATTTCACCTTTCCCTTCCACCAGCAATCAGATACCTGCATTGGAATTCCACCTTCCTCCTCCSGGCTGTGTGCTCTTTCGACTGAGAAAGATCAGTGCTTTAGTTTACTGTGTTTGTGGTAACAAATTACCACAAATTTAGTGACTTAAAACAACAGAAATTTATGATAATTGTGGAAATCGGAACTGACACGGGTCTTGTTGCTGGAATCCACTGGAGGCTTTAAGAAGTGGTTTCTGGCCTTTTCCACCTAGAGACTGCCTGCATGCCTTGACCTGTAGCCCTCTCTCTATCTTCAAAGCCTGCCAAGGCTGGATAAGTCTTACATCACATTACCCGACACTGATAATCTTGACTCCCTCTTCTATATTTTTTKGGGGAGGGGTACCATGGATTGAACTCAGGCACTCCACCACTGAGCCCCATCCCCAGCCCTATTTTGTATTTTATTTAGAGACAGGGTCTCACTGAGTTGCTTAGCGCCTTGTGGAGGCTGGGTTTGAATTCATGATCCTCCAGTTTCAGCTGGGATTATAGGCGTGCACCACGTACCCAGCTCCCTCTTCTACTTTCAAGGACAGTTTACATTGGGCCACTAATCTCCTACTTACAGGTCAGCTCACTAGCAACCTAAAAGCCCTCTTGCCATGTAACCAAACATATTCAAGATCTACTCCTGAAGACTGAAATTTATTTAAAAGATACCTCCATTCAGGCATTCAGCAAACACGTATCAAGTCTTGAGTTAAAGTATATGAAATACTTTGGGAGTCTGACACCCTGTAAGCAATCAATCAATGTCACCCATTATCATGTATCTATCATAGGCTCTTTTGGCAACATGGTCCTAGCCTCAAGAATTCACTCCTTAGTCTGCACTTTTGGAGATCTGTGCCTCTAAAATCCAGGGGAATGCTGCTTTCCTTTCCAACTGTAAGTCTACCATGACTCCCCCAGGGTCCCAGAGCACCATCCTGTCTTCTGTGTTAAGCCAGAAGAGCAGCAGCCCCCGCCTCATGACTTCCCCTACCTGCTAGTGACAAAAAAACACCTACGGGTCCAGTCAAGGGCTCATCCACCACTCCCTTGGACTGAAATGGTGGAGGCTGTGTCTGGCCCAGGACCTGAGTCAGGGAATGGTCCTCCTTAGCCAGTGGCCTGCAGCACAACTCCCAGTCACCCTCAGCTTGCTTCCTTGGCACTCTCCAGGCCCCAAGGTTTATTCCTCAACAGCTGCTTGCACATTATTGGCCATGCAGTCTACTTGGGATTTTTTTTTTTTTTTTTTTTTTGCTTTTTCCATGCTACTAGTATTGTCTTTCATCCTATCTGGTTCTCCGTTTGAGGATATCTATCCTCTTCTCCTACCTCAAAACTGCTCTTGAAACTCTTGCTTAGGTCAGAGTCTTACCACAAAGCTGTCTGCTCACTTTGTGAGCTGCTCTCTGGTCCTCGCTATGAGGAGGGACCCAAGTCTTCCTCAAGACTGGGCCTCTATCACACAGTCAGCGGATCTGGGGACAAGGGAGGGAGTCTCAACACCAGGGTCTTCAGTGAGGAAGCGTGACTGGGCCCTGGGTCTGCCCTGCGAGGAGGCTGGGCTGGGTTGTGCTGGATGAAAGTCACCAGGAAGTGGCTCACCACTGGACAGGAGCAGGACTGGAGTGGTGACTGAGAATGTTGGGGTTGGAGGAACCTTAGCAGCTGTGCACCTGCCACTCCTGAGCTGGGGCCAGAGACCCCTACMCCATGAGCACCACCGGGACCCCTCCTCCCACCACCACTGGGGCTGCAGCTCCTCCAAGTGGCGTAGCCCCCCCCATCACCCCTCTGCTCCCACAGTGCTCTGCTTCCCTTTCTCCAAAGCTGGGTCACATCCTCTCATTCATCGGCTCCTACCCACAATTTCYTCCTGTCACCTCAGAAATCCTATTTTCTTCCTGGCTTCCTCCCAAGTTCTGAGGATGATCCATCCTTGCTAATAAATCTGAGGGAGGAAGGCCAGCCCCTCCATCACATGAGGCCTTTCATGTTCTTTGGTACTGGAAGGGCAGCTCTCACCTGGGCAGGTACGGCCTACAGAGGCCTGTGGGCCTCACAGCTCTTGTTCCTGCCCTCACTTCCAGTCCGTGCATCCTGGGTAGGCCAAGAGTCCCTCCACAAACCCTCCAATCCCCCCGGCCAAACTTCCAGCCACTGCGGGTCTCTCCTGTGGATGCCGCTTGTAGGTCAAGGGTACGTGGGGAGGTGGCTCCAATAATGTCCTTTGGAAATCCCGTGAATCCAAATCTTTTATGAACTACATCCTCTCACTACCTAACCATGCCAGGGAATTATCTGACTTTGTGCCAGCCTCAAGAGGCAGAATACTATTCATTTGGCCCATTTTGTTGGCTCTGTCATTGATTTTATTTAGGAATTAAATCCTTTCTGTGCTTATGCTAAGGTCAGAGAGATGATGGGAGAAAAAACACAAATGTAAATAAGTGACGGTTATGCTAAACAGACTCAAAAGAGATCGTGGTTAAATGAATAGAGTATAATAATTGTGACAGTATGTGTAAGGGTGAGAGAAAATTTGTTAAAGTATTCCAGTAAAAAAAAATAACAGTCGAGTAAATTTTAACTAATAGCTCTGTACTCAACGTACGAACATATACCAACTTCATTTTGTTGTTCTAAAACCATTTCAAGTATTTTAAAATTAGGTTCCCTATCTTGATGAGGCTTAAAAATTAGATATAAATAACTCCAAGAAAATAAACTGTAAAAACCATAGTCATTTTTAGTGTTATTAAGTAGGTTGTAAAGTGTATTTTTCAACAACCAAATTACAAGAATTCTGGGCTTGAAGGAGCCTCACTGAAAGACAGTTTAGCAATTTTCATTTTTTTGGAAGGACTGGCTGGAGAATATTAGCAGGACACATATGGTCTTCTAGAAATTAGCAGACCAAATAAAATGGGCCAGGTGTGGTGGAGCACACCTCTMATCCTAGTAGCTCAGGAGGCTGATGCAGGAGGATCTACAATTCAAGGCCAGCCTCACCAACTTAGTAAGGCCCTAAGCAACTCAGTGAGACCCTGTCTCTAAATAAAGTACAAAAAAAAGGGGGGGGGGCTGGGAATGTGGCTCAGTGGTTGAGTGCTCCTGGGTTCAATCCCCTGTATACCACCACCACCCCTCAAAAAAAATGACGAYGATCTGAAACAGGACAATTCTGCTCTGGGTCAGCATCTCTAACTCACCCACTCTAGCCAGCAGGGAGGAGCTGTCCCTGAGGGTTACAGAGCATCAGAGGATTCAGAAACCAGGAGCTTGATCCCCACCACTGGGCTGGGACGAATGCACTTAGCCATGMGATCATAAGCATGCTGGCAATGATGACTCTATTTGTCATCAGGAGAGTGTTGAATCTCAAGGCCATATAAGTTTCAAATTCAATAATTTTTATTTAATAGTGCTTTTCAAAGAAAGTACCCAAGAGCTGGATAAACACCTATGTCAGAGGTCAACTGGCCCAGGAATCTGAACCAGCCCTGAAGAAGAATCTGTTGGCAGAGCCTTGGTTCTGTCTTCCTAAAGAGAGCTGAAGCCAGAGTCAGAGCCAAAGCCAAAAGCTAGAGCCAAGTACAGGAGCAGATCTGGCAGGGAATTTATTGACCACCGCATACAGTGGTGGTAAAAAAAAAAAAAAAAAAAAAAAAAGGAAAGAAAAGAAAAATAAAACCAACAAACCAGGGAGAGAAAAACCTGTTTTTCTGTTCAAAGCATTTTATAAAAATATTATGTATTGCTCTAAAAAAATCAAACTTTTGCTGGTCTAAGCTTCCCACCAAGATTCCTTTTGGTGATTTTGGAAGGAGTGGGTAGAGATCATCTGGAGGGGGCAGGGTCCCCTGAGATCCCTTTCATCCTAAGAGTGTAGGCTTAGCCTTGTTCAGCTCTGGCCATGAAAATGGTTCCCCCCGCAACCCCACCCCCGCCAGGCAAGGCGGCTTTGGGTTCAGGTGGTACCTGCCATTCCTGGTATCGTGTTGCCGCATGTTCTTGATAAAATGAATCTTCTTAAAATTCTTTGGTCTGGGCGAACCTGAGAGAGTTCGACATCTGAAAAATAAAGTGGTTTCAAAAACAGAGTCAGTTGCCTGCTGGACAGCTGAGACATCTCCACACAAAGACAGGAAGGAAAGACCAGACAAATGGTTTGAGTCACCCCCAGGCAGGCAGGAGTCTCTGGGATAATGAAGACAATACGGCTAGAAGCAAGGAAGTTAAAAAAAAAAAAAAAAAGAAAAAACCCAATGACAGACAACTTCCTTGATAATACCGATAATATTTTATATGCGTCTCCAAAAGCTGGCTAATRAAAACTACAGTCTACAGTTATCATAGCATAGTCTACACAGATTCCAAAGACATTATTCTTTATTGTCATTAAAAAAAGAATCTCCTGCATCAACACAGGTAAAGGGAAGAGCAAGTTGTAAACTTAAAGGCTCTGGGGCTAGAGCAATAACATGGGAAATTCAGTTTTCAAAACAATCCTGAATCATTTTGCTTCCAAAGCACAATTTTGGCCTGACTTGCCTGGACRGTTACCTCAACTCCAACTTGACCATGCTTTTAATGCGAAGAAGAATCAACCCAGCTAGTGTGTTTCATCTTTTATTTATTTATTTATTTTTGCTTTAAGGTAAATTTTAAATAAATATCTACTGAATCAAAGTGACTTGGATTCAAATTTTCTCCYCCTACCCCGAAATATATGACATTCACTGTACTGCAAGTCTAAAGACCGTATAGATCTTATTTTCTATACAATATGTTCAAAGTTACCTGGGAAATTCTAAGTTACAAAACTAATATCAYCACCACCACCAAAGCAAAAAGCCCAAGAAGTGAGAATTTGGAGTTCGGTCTTTTCTTGACAAAGGGAGCTATGACTTTTCTGGACYCCCACCCCCAATCCCACACACCAAAAATCCTTTTTGACCATCGGCTCCAAGGGCTGGCTTCTGCTGTGGGGCACAGGTGCCCGTGACCTTGTTTCAAAAGCAAGTTTGGGAAAGCAGTGCCCAGTTTCACAAAGGCCACGCAGAGATCTGGGCTGGGACCTCACCTGAATTCAGTCAGTTCTTATAGGCTTCAGGCAAAGGAGTGAGATCAAGACCCAACAGGAAGTGAACGTGTGAGGGGCAGGTATAGGAAGTAGGCTGGGGAATGGGTAGGCTCACAGGCCTGTAGGGCAATCCCCATCTTTACTGTCTCCCAGGAATATCTCCAGGGAGGTCACGCCTGGAGCATCTTCCACCCACCCTGACCTACACTTCTGCTAAGGGCTGGTACTTCTGGGAGACCTTTCTCATAGTGCTGAATGCTATTTTCCCTCCTTAAGAAACAGCACCTTAAAATGTAATTTAACTTGCAAAAATACCTCTGAATTAGTCAGGGTGACCAAAGCAAAGGGATATACACTATCAGATATTTATCTGGCCAAGGGCCTTCCATGGGCTGTGGATCCAGAGGACAGCCCCACGTCTGATCATCATCTACTCCTTTGGAGCCAGAAGCTTTGGCAAAGACCACATCCTCCCAACCTCCACCATGAACTCACCACCGTGAGTTCTGACCCATGACCATTTGAGTGTGCAGGTCACTTAAAGTTTCCACTGTGTCAGACACAGAAGGTTCTAGAAATATGGGATTGCTGAACAGAAGAAAATCTCTGAAAGCCTAAAGGAAGGTATGGTTCCAGGGGTTTCTAGATAGGGCCCAAGGCTCAGAAGTGTCTTACTTTTTACCTCACTCCACCCCCAAAAGCAGAGTTCTTGGGCCAGCTAGTCTGAGGGTGGTGGGGTCAAGAGATCAATAGTACAGTCCACTCACTGATCCTGCCACCTTAGCAAACTCTAGCACCTTCCTCCTCCCACCTCCGGGAAGCAGGAACTGGTGCCAGCCCATAGGAGGAAATCCTAACTATTCCCCATCTCCAGGAAGGGAAGCACCAAATTCCAGGAAGTCAGCAATAAGGCCAGAGGTAGCTGTCCATGCCAGCTCAGCAAGGAGGCAGTAGCAGTAAGAACTTCAACAGCAGAAGCCACCAGCACCAGACTGCGGCACCTATCAACAGGATAACTCAATAAAAGTCCTGTTTTTCCATATCAGCTCCCCTTTCTAACTRTATACCCTCCTAATCTAGCTCTTCTTTCAGCAAGCTGTTTGTTGTCTTGCCTTTTTAAAGCACTCAACTAAACCACCAGGGAACCTAAGTGATGCTTTAAGAGAATTGTGGCATTAGCAACAATTGCCAAGGAAACAGGGATACCGAGTGCGCCGGTTGCAGCAGGTTAAGCAAAGAACAAATTAATTTCAAAGCCGCCTGCATTAATCTGTAAATATCCATTGAAAACCATACATTTTAAGTGATGCAAAATTAAAGTAGGATAGAATTAAATTAAAAACTAATTTAATGAAAGATTAGCTCTTTCTTGTTAGCACTGATTATAGGATACACTTAATGATGCAAAAGTTTTAATAGATGCCTTGGAGCCATTTGTTTTATGTGCTAAGCTTAAAAGCAAGTTGGGCTAAAAAGCCTTCTGCCCCCACAGTTCCCAAAACATTTTGATGTCATKACTGGTCCTTTCCTATCACAGAGTGGAAAGACCCTCAGAGATACAGCCCACTCAGCCCTCCCATTTTACAGATGGGAAAACCAAGGCCCCAGAGACACTAATGAGATGGCAAGGCCACATAACCAGTTACAACAGTCAGGCCAATCTCTCAGCATCCCAGATTCCAAAAATAAAGGACCCTTCTACACTGTGTTAATTTTTATTTCCTAGGAGCAAGTTCTAAGTATGAGAAATATTTTTTTAATTAAAAAAGTCCATTTGGGAAAATAAAGACTTCTAAAACTGCCCTGATTTCTGATTGTTTTAAGTGGTTTACACTTATACAAAATTGATTCGAATTTTTCATCACTATATTCTGTAAGTAAAAGTTCAATGAAGTCATAGTTCAGGTAGATAAGCCACTTTTTTACTTAGATCCTTTGCCAGTCTAGACAGATTCTGAGAGGAGGGTTCCAGGATATAGACCATGAACACAGCACCCAGGTTCCCCTCCTAGGCTCCCAGAGACCCAGTGTCACCTGTGTTCAGAGGCAKAGTGGCCCTGTCACGGAACCCTGGGGAGGGAGAACTTTCGCCTGTACACCGAGTGTCCTGCTCACAGCTGCCACACAGTTCTGAAAACATAGCTTCTAGCAGCCTCTTAAAGCCCCAGGGCCCTTTTTTAGATTTCTTCACTGATTTTCCCATTTGCAGCAGGAGGAGAGGGAGCCTTGGTCAGAGGTGACCACGCTGCTCTAAGGCCAAAGCCACTTGCAGCCACCTGAAGACATTGCTCCTCCATGCTTAGCAATTATCTGGACCAAAGCTAGTTTTCCACCTTGACTTTTAATGCAGGTCACTGAAAAGTTCCTGCAGGAAACAGCCCCCTCCCAAGATTCAACGGTGGCTTGCAGAAGGCTCTTGACCAAGCTGCATACTCTCCACCACGGCGGCTCCACGCTGTTCATCCTCCCGTGCTCCCAGAGGCTGCACTATATTTTCAAAGACTTCAAAAGTSATGAGGAGACTTTTGTGGCTTTGGCTTTTTTCCCTCTTTGGGATGATGTCAGTGACCAGATTCACAGTCACATGCCACTTTCAATTAGAGCCTTGGCCAGTCTGGGCTTACCCTGCCCTCTACTTCTCTGGTGGTTGGGACCTGTGGATACCACCTCCAGCCTGGGAGTGGGACAAGGAGCCCTCTCTAGGTTAAGACACTGCCCTCCACAGCAGCACCTCCCAGGCTCAGGGGGGAAAGTCCGGGGACTTCCAAGTCCTGACCAGCAGCCAAGGCACATGGAGTRCAGATGCAGGTTCAAGGAGGAATGGATGCAAGTTCATGGGGGGGTCWCGGGGGCTGGGGTTCCTGCCCACTGGCTGCCTGGTGGTCCCTGTGAAGGAAGCCCTAGAGTTCCATCTTGCCTCAGCCCCTTCTGCAGGGTTGAGACCCCCTTCCCCACCCCACGCTGCTGCCCCCATCCAGATGAGGGCTGCAGAGGTCAGTATTTTCTCCATGGAGAGGGCCTGGTTGGGCCTCAGTGTGGGTGTCGGTCAACAGAGAAAGCAAGRGTAGAGGAGGGGTAAGTCACAGGTACTGCAGAGCTCAGCAATCGCCTTCARCCCAAAAAGATGCCTGGCCAGCACTTTCCTAATCTCAAGGGGGAAATGGAATGCTTTCAGACCCCAGGGAGCTCTTCAAACTGTCCTAATTGGGTTTCCCCAGCAACCAGCCAGGGAGTGATGTCATAGTGCCCTCCTAAGGAGTTCTGGTCGTCCCTTCTTGCTAAAAATGAAGTTCCAAGACTATAACGACTGTGTAATTATACCCAGGACAATACCGGGCTCTTCTATAAAAGTAGCAGCTTTCAAAATGAAAAGGTTGGCGATTCACTCAGAGATGGAGCATGCACAAGCCCTTGGGTTCAATCCCCAGCACTGAACAGAGAAGAAAAAAAAAAGGGGCGGTAGGAGGGTGAGGGTAGGGGACCATAAGAGGAAAAGCACCCAAATTCACAGATTAACTAAGCTACTTGCATACATAATAGGGATTTTCTAGTTTTCTAGTGCTGTGTCCTCAGGGTTGGGGCTCCATATGTCAAGATGGTCATTTTAAAATTTTAACTCTGTAGATCAAGAACTTTAAAAATAAATCAATCTTATACTGCCAGCCATTTATAAMTACATAAATGAAATAGAAAAATTACCTCCGGAGAGGGGCATTCTCTTCAATATCTTCCAGGGTCTCCAAGGATGATCTCTGGGAGATGAGACGACGTCTACAGAGAGGAGAAAAAAAAAACAAAACCTAGGAGTTAAAATCGGATTGTCAAATTGATCAGACATGTCTGTAAACCTAAAACTGTCCTTAAAAATGAAGCCCATTATCTGATTCAAATGTATGATATGTCAAGATCATTGTTCTGTCATGTGTAACTAATTAAAACAAATTTTAAAAAATTAAATGTATAGATAACATGAAAAAAAATAAAACCCATTAAAAATTAAAAATAAATAAATAAATAAAAATGAAGCCCATTGCCAGGTGCGGTGGTGCACACCTGTAATCCCAGCAGCTTGGGAGTCTGAGGCAGGAAGATCATGAGTTCAAAGCCAGCCTCAGCTAATGCGAGGTGCTACACAACTCAGTGAGACCCTATCTCTTAAATAAAATACAAAATAGGGATGGGGGTGTGGCTCAATGCCCCTGAGTTTAGTCCCCTGTACCAAAAAATTAAAAATAAATAAAGCCCATTAAAAAAAAAAAAGATTAGACAAAAGCTGTCTGTAAGAGGCTGCCCTACTCTTACCCTGCTCGGGGACCTCCACCTCGTCTTGCAGCATCCTGAACATTCCCCCTCGGGAACAGGGCTTCTTTGTGGTGACTAAGAAAGTGATGTTATCTTTTTAGGCTACACTTTTCCCTAAAAGACAAGGTGTCTCTTGTCACATGTAGTATAACTGTGTGAAGGTTTTCTAAAACACTAGATAATACTGTTAAGTATGAAGTATCAGTGAATTGAACTAAGGAACRGATAAATAAATTTTCAAACCAGACTAAATAAAAATCTCAAAATCATTAGAAAACAATTTAAAAAGTTTTTGTCCATGCAAGGCTTTGAATTCAAAAACAACCAGAAGCAAAGAAGAAATTCTTTTAAAGGAATTTCTCAGAGACCAGTAAGAATGAATATTCAGCATGATTATGTGTGACAATAACTTTTCTGGGCTGCTAAAGAATCGCATACCACCTGCTAAAACCTCCTTAGTCTAGTTTCTTTTGCCAGGCTGAAATAAGAACAGGTCCTAGTTAACTAAGAATATCTAGTACAGGAGCAGGGCAGGCTGGTGGTAACTTTAAATAAATCCATTCGAACAAGGACCACTCATTTTATAGAAAATGATCTGCCTGAGGGGTGGAGGGGAGTGGATCGCAAGGCTTGACCAGGTCAAGCCTTTAAAAAGAAAATAGGATTAAAATTAAGTCAATTTTCTATTATGTTTGACAACTTTTAGGTTAAGAGCATGCAATCATAACTATGTTCTAGTTTGTTCTGAAGAACAAAGAATGAAACACTTTGGGGCTTCTGTGTAAACTTCTTCTGAACAACTACCCTCAAAACCTTTTGCTTCATGTTTTACTTTTGATAAGATAAACAGAAAGGTCATTTTTGCAAACTAATCAAGGGCTTCATCAATTTTCCAAGAGTCCTTCTTAATCTTTTGATACTCAAATCCTTTTTGAACTGCTCCTCACACACACTCCTCTTCTTTTTCTCTAGCTGTACATGGTCTGATTTCCTCAGATCCTCATCCATCAATATGTGARCACCAAACAGTTCCCAACATCACTGGCATTGTCCCTGTAACACCCTGGACCTTCTGCAGGGCCACAGTTTCACTTTATAATTAACTAACACTGACTTCCCATTTGCACAGTACTGCCCCAGTTTCCCCCGGTTAGCCAGAGCTACAGGGGAGACACTGGTCTTACCTGGAAATGAGGGAGAGGTCCCGGGGGAAGGGTTAGTGCATTCCTCAGTAAGCAGGATTTCCCAGTGCAACCCTGTAACTCTGGGGTGCTCAGCTCTCCAAGACCCCTGTGATAGCACCCTACAACTGTGGCTCTGAAGCACCTGCATTTTCAGTTCAAGCACAGCCTCTCTGAAATCTCAGTTAATCCTGGAGAAAGCAGGCAAGGGAGCCCCCAGGCTGTCCAGGTGCTGAGTTTAGCTGGTATGGAGTCTCAAGCTGGGAATGGGTCATCATGCGCCTGCCACTGTGGCTCTCGGCAGCAGGCACCTTCCGTCCCCACAAGTCCCATCCACAGGTCTACATAACTCCMCCAATGGTCATTCCTGGGTACTAAAGTTTTGGGACCTTAGAAAGCTGCTCTAGCCTCAGTTTCCTCATCTATAAAATGGGAAAATGAGAGTAACTAAAAATCAAATACATGCAAAGTCCTTGACATTCGGAAATTCTAAATGAATATCGGGTGCACCCTGACCTGCATCCCAGTTCAGCTGACTAGGATCAGGATGACTGTCCTAACTCTGACCCTTCCCTCCAGTTCCAGCCAGTAGTAAGTAGAGTCACGTGCTCCTGCCACACTTTAATATCATGCTTGTCTACCACAGGGTGCTCTGGGAAAGCTCCTATTATGTGTGTCTCCTCAACAATGAAAGAGTTAATGGTTTCAATGATATTTACTCTACCTCTGGAGAACACTGAATATTTTGAAATTAAAAGTGAAACATTGACCCAAGTATGCACACCTAAATSACCTTGGAGATAACGTCACATCCATAGGCAGAAACAAACATATAGTTTCATGTGCTGGGAATCTCAACAAACTCACAAACTTGGAGCTTTCCTTTGTAGAGCACCTTTTTCAGGTGACCAGTAAATAGTCAATCGAATGTGCCACCAGGTGGCTACAGGGACCCTGAAGTTGGAGGACTGCCCTCCTTCATGCAGGTCCTCTGGAGGGTCTGCAGTCAGCTGTAGGGTGGGAGACACAACACAGGCCCCAGCAAAGTTCCACCAAGTTCATCTTCCCCATGGAGCCACGACCATCCGGCTGCCCACCTGCTCAACCAGAACCTGGGGCACCTCGCCTGCTGTGACCCAGAGCTGCCCTGGCTTGGCTCCTGCCCTCAAGGGGCTCACATTCAAGTGGGAATCTGAAGGACCACCGAGAACTCCATCAGAATCTCTCAACCCCACCACCCTCGGGGGCTGTCTCCTGTGAGGGGCAGCCTGGAAAGCCCTCCAGCCCAATCCCACACAGGGTGCGCGCAGACTGAGGCTCTATCATTCAGAGCACATAYTCACCCTAGAAAAAACAAGTCCTTTCACAATAACCCTACCAACAAGCTCTTCCCACACCGGAAAAGAAAGCTGTTTATCTGGAAAATAACCAAATCRGAATATCTATTCTTTCTATACAGTTATAGGAATATAATAATAAGGACTTCTTTTTCTTGGTAGTACTGGAAATTGAACCTAGGGGGCTTGCACATGCTAAGTACTTGCTCTAACTCTGAGCTGACTAGTCAGCCTTTGGTTCCTTATTTTGAGACAGGGTCTCGCTAAGTTGCCTGGACTGGCCTTGGACTTGCAATACTCCTGCCTCAGCCTCCCGAGTAGCTGGGTTTACAGGCATGCACTGTGTCCAGTAAGAACATTTCTCAGAAAAAAAAAGGTCTGATATTTTCCTCATGAGTTGAACATGTATAGATTCACGCACACATTGCTACAGACTAAACATACCCTCCCTTCCTAAAACTCWTGTTGAAATCCTAGCACCCAATGTGATACTATTACAAGTGGGCCCCTCTAATTGCTGGGATGGTGGCTCAGTGGTAGAGCGCTTGCCCAGCCTGTGTGAGGCACTGAGTTCGATCCCTGGCACCACATAAAAATAAACAAAATAAAATAAAGATACTGGGTCCATCTACAACTAAAAAATTATTAAAAAGAAAAAAAGAAGTGATTAGATTAGATGTGTGGGATCCTCACAAATGGAATTAATGTCCCTATAAATGGGATCCCAGAGCACTCTCAGCTCCCAAGGAGGAGTGAAAACACAAGAAGCCAGTTGTCTGTTACCTAGAAGAGGCCCTCACACTAGCCCCACACTACCCTGGCACCCRGATCCCAGACTTCCAGCCTCTTGAACTATGAGAAAATAAATCTATATTATTATAAGCCACCCAGACTATATCCTTTGAGATGGAGCTAGAGCTCAGTAAGGACCACCACAGTCATTACAAAGACACTGTCCTGTGGCATCATGTGATACCTGCCCTTCCTACGATGACCTGTGCATTGCCACAAGGGCAGGCCTTTGGACTGGTATCTCAGTAGTGCTCATTACCACCTTGCTAGATCCTTCCAGGATATGCAGTAATGTCTTCCATCTCCCTTTCTGTCCTTAGGGAGCCCACAATGGATGGGGTGGCTAAGGGCAGGCAGCCAACCTTAACCAGTCACTTTTCACCCTACAATTTGCCCCATGGGCTAAACGCATCACCATGCCATCTCCTTATCATARGGCATAGTTAATAAGCAGAGGTATCTGCATAATTTAATGACTGATAAAGAATACCTAGCCATGGTCCAAAATAGCAGGCCACCTTGTTAACCAAACAGGCATCCAGTAAGAGACTGGCAGGGCTCAAAGCAAAAGCATAATGCGCTGACATCATCAAATGGAAGCACTTCTGTCTAGTCTCCAGACTGACGTCCACTTGGGGTTCCTCATGTGGTCTATTACAAGTTGGGACCTTCCATGCAAAGACGCCCATCTGGCTCCCACACATAAGGCTTACATTTATCAGCCTCCCAAGACGCCCAGAATTGTTTTAGAACAATTGTTTTAGAACAACTCAGTGCAGGATTATGCCCGAGTAAGTCATAATCCAAGACAACACAGACATCTGAACACACCTATGTGGACCAAATTAATGCAGCACTCATCATTAAGCACTAATGGTTCATCCTGGGGATGGGGAAGTCACTATATGCTCCAGGGACCCAGTGCTGGGCAAAGTGGTCCTGTTATAATAATCTCATACCAAGAGCTTAAGGAGAGGTGGCTGTGGAAGAAAAAATGGGAAAAACCCCCATCTGATAAGACTATGAAACTGGGGTGCAGAGGAGTAGGAGAGGCAGAACCTGGGCCAGCATTTCCAAAGTGTCTTTTATCACAGAAGGGTCACTGGCTCCATTTCCAGGGCAGGAACAGTGGCCAGACATACAAAGTAAACACCCAGGG